ACTCTTGACAGCAGAGGACGCGGAAGGGAAAGGCAAGGCGGGGCCCACAAACTATCATCTTCTGGCGGGCTGCAAATGGCCCCCGGGCCGCATGTTTGAGACCCCTGAGTACCTGTTCCAAATGTTTTAGCATCATACCACTCTTTCTAAGAAACCCTTGTGCTCCCTACCTCCCTACATTTCTTTTATGATTTTTAAAATGTTATGTTTTTTCCACACCATTCACAGCTCTGCGGTGCCCAGACTCTCAATGACCTGTACAAGGTTATAAGCTAATTTATGTTTCTCATTTGTTAACAAATGTATCACCCATTCTTATCTCTGGGTTGTCTACCAGGACCATATAGCCTTTTGTTTTTCTTTGCAATTTTAGTTATACAAACTTTTCAAAGTGTTTCCAGTTAATGAAAAATTGTGTTAAACACAGTGATTCTTCAGTTAATACCCATTTTAATTCTAATTGCATTAATATTTACTGCAAATTTTTTTGCTAAAAATAATTGTACTATTATATTCATTATATTTTATATTTATATTTTATAAAATTATTTTATACATTTATTGTCTTAACAACACTTTATATAATGATATGCTGCTATTTTAATCTTGTAGTTTGCTATTTGGAATTGCAGAGGTTTAATACAAAAGGAAATTTTCTCCTGTATCTCCCACTATGTTTTATTTATTTTATTTGTTTACGTATTGGATTTCTATCCCGCCCATATAGACCAAAGATCTACTCTGGGTGGTTATGTCTTTCTGGTTCCTGAGATGTTCAGAGGACTTCTCCCAGTCCCCCTGCCATTACAGATGGGTTTAATAGAGAAGTGAGAGAGGAGCTTCTCTGTAGCGGCTCCCATTCTGTGGAAAGTTCTTCTGCCCTGTATGGTTCTGGTATAGCAGGTTCATCCTCCCAGGAATAGTCCTCCAACAGACATGACAGCCATCTCATTGGTGACTGTGGGGACAGGTTACTTGTAATCAGTGCGATTTTAAAAGCTTTGTATTTTTTAGTACTGCTTTTGTTTAAACTTTCTCAGAATGGTACTTGTTCCTTTCTAATATTTACATACTAATTGTTTTTAGCTTTAAATATTGTCTTTTAGTGATATAAACCACGCTACGCCCTTTTTAAGGTGGAAGGCGGGATATAGACAGACAGACAGACTGTTTGGAAGGTCAAATCTTACGTCCTTTTTAAGGTGAAAGGCGGGATATAGACAGACAGACAGGTGGACTGTTTGGAAGGTAAAATCTATGTATCAATATCCACAGAAAGTTGTGGGAAAGTGAAATTTATTCCTTAACCATCAAACTTTTAATTTCCCTCTACATGAGAAAGAATTGAGAGGCAGGACTTGACAGAAATAAAAAAACTTTGGGGAAAAAACATACTCATTTTTTAAAATTTTTTTGACCATGTATGACCACTAGGTGTCAATCTTTCCCCACACAAAAAACTGACTAACATTATTACTTTTTGTTTTATTCCCTTCTGAGAGGAAACTAGGGTGAAAACCACCTCACAGCTTCACTCCATAGTGGCCAATTAAAAATTACTGTTGAGTAGGTGGAGACAGGGAGTGGAGACAAGGTATAATTATAGCTCATCCTCATGTCTTGAAGAATTTCCTGAGGTAACCTGAGAATGTTGCCACAGGGATGTTTGTCTCCAATTGATACAAACTTCCCTACACTGCACCCTAGGATTTAAATTGCTGTTGCCACCCACACAAAAATGTTTAATTATCCTGGGTAGATGTGTTACAAGTGTCCACACATCACACAGCCCCACTTTTCACTCATCCTTCTCTGTCATTATCACCACCCTCTTACCCACCCCTTTTGCTGCCTTTCAACTGCCATCTTACTTTCTTTTTAATATTAGCAAATGAAGTCGTGCTGAACTGACAAGACATGGTAAACATGTGAATTAGTGCTATATCTTTTTAGCCAGGAGAAAAGAATAGGAAATTATAAAAAATACAATTTACAAATTGCAGTGCAGTTGCAGTCCTCACCAGTACGAGTGAAAGACAACTAAAAGGAGTAGAGTTCACTCACCCTACTCTGAGTATCATCAATGATGTGACAGAATCATAGAATTGTCATTGGGTTGGAAGGGACCTTGGAGGCCTTCTAGTGCAAAACTCCACCCAAGGGAGGAAACCTCATAACATCCCAGACCTCATACTATGCTGGACAGATGGCTGTCCAATCTTTTCTTGAAAACCTCCAGTGATGGGGCAGCCACAACATCCGGAGGCAAGCTGTTCCACTGCTTAATGGTTCTCACCGTCAGGAAATTCATCCTTATTTCCAGGTTGGATCGCCTTCTGACGAGTTTTCACCCATTGGTTCTTGTCTGGATCTCCTTCTGACGGGTTTTCACCCATTGGTTCTTGTCTTACCCTCAGGCACAATGGAGAATAAATCAATGCCATCTTCTCTGTGGCAACCCTTTAGATACTGGAAGACTGCTGTCATGCAAATAAATCGATGCCATCTTCTCTGTGGCAGCCCTTTAGATACTGGAAGACTGCTGTCATGTCTCCCCTCAGTCTTCTCTTCATTAAGCTGAACATCCCTAGTTCTTTTTAATCATTCTTCAGATGATTTAGTCTCCAGTCCCCTTATCATTTTTGTTGGCTCTTCTCTGCACCAGGG